TCACAGAGCAACAGCAAACAAATGGCCACTATCTCGGGGAACGCTAACACGAGCCAAACTACAACAATTCACAAAAAATTACAACAAAAAGAACAACAACATCAAGATCAACCAACAACAACAACAACAACCAATTCCAGCAGCAACAAACACTTTCTCACGTAAGTTTTAAAACGTTTTTAACATATACAGCAACACAAGCAAATGAAGAAGAAAAAAATGAAAAAAACCACGATAAATGAAGTGTCGTCAAAACATGAACAAAATTTTACAAAATTAAGATCAATTAAATGTAATTTATTTATTGAATAATTAAGTAAATTTACGAAATCTACTATATATGTATACATTTTTTAGGCATTTCAGATGAAACACTTTGGATAAATGTTTAGGAAAATATTTAAAACGTTCAAAATTATATAAAGAAATGATTTAGGAAAACGAGATGAAACAAAAAAAAAACGAGAAAAAAGCAAAGTTAGAAAAAAAGAGACTTCACGTAAACTTTCCTCATAGATTTTTAGGAAACTTTCGACTCGAAAATTTCCGAGCAATTTTTGATTTCGTTCCTTTTTTATTTCTTCTTATTTAGGTAGGTTTTGACCAGTTTTTTAAATCAATTTGTTCGTTTTGGCGAAAGAAATGTTTATTTGTGTTGGCAAATTCTCTCTTTTTTTTCGTTTAGAATAGGGTTGTGTCCAAATGTGATTACACATTAGGAGTCTATAAATCAAAGGATATCGAGAAGCGCGCAACTTTACGCGTACCAAATCAATGAGAATGCGATTCAAAGTTGAAACAAGATAAGCGAAGGAAAATTTCATAATTTTAATCAGCGATTATTTAAGAAAACATTGAAACCAATACGGTCATATTGACATCAGCATTCCGAATTGAATCGGCGAAAACGGCGAGCATATCTTTGACACTAAAAATCTAATGACACAGTGCACAATACAGTAACAGTAATAATCAAGCCACTTTTTTTTTTCATTCAATCAACATTTAACCCATTAACGCCCAAGCCAAAAAAAAATTTCGAATTTTTTGGTGACATTTTGACGGGATACTTTTGAGAAACCAAATATGATTTTCCCAAAGTTTCACAATTTTCCAGCATTTTCCGGCATTTACCGGAAATCTGCCAATTGGAAAACATTCTTCAAACCTTTCCTAACACACATGCAAAACGGCATGTGAAAATTCCAAGCCGTTTGATCAGGATAGAAGAAAATCTAAAATAAGTCATAAAAAATCGGCAATTTTTGTGTCCTAAAAATAGAACGTTGGGCGTTAACTGACACAACCAAATTGTTTGCTGGCAAACTTTGTCTCACATAAAAATAGCATAAAAGAGATGTTGTTCGCAGTAAACTCAGTTTAGATGTTCTTTTAACGATTAATAGCGAATGAATCCGCTTAATTCTCTTTTTGAATTTTCACTCATTTTTATGTACATTCCTCGAAGGAATTTCCTTCTAGCACATGTTACTGGTATTTTTGAACCCGGAATTTTGTCAGTATAGTTCCATTCCATTCCATTTTGCAGTCAAAACTACGTTTTAAAAAGAGTTCTTGCCAAATACGTAATCAATTCTGATACTGACGTGTCAATATCCGTATTGCGTTTCCAAAAGAAGTTCAATAATTCATTAATTTGTGTTTGACAAACTATACACGAGCTAAAAACGAATCAGATCCGATCCGATCAAAGAATCAAACAATAATATAATCGAATGCGAAGATCAGAGAAAGCATAGGGAAAATCATTCAATGTAACAGCAATTCAACAACAATACAGGACTTAAATCATCAACAAGCAACAAGCAACAACAACAAAAAACGACAAATTTATTGAAAATAAATACAAAGCCCAGCTGCATAAATACAGTTAAACGGTGAAATAAAAAAAAAAACACACAGAATAAGTGAAAACACAAGTCAGCCATGGAAAACAGCATATGAAATATATCTAGTAAATGAACACACCTTCAAGCAATTGCATAAAACCGAAATGATACACACAGATAATGATAGCGCAATAATATCGCTATCATCGCCAAGAAAACAAATTCATCATAGCAAAGTTCAAACAAACAAAATTGAAATAGCAAAACAAAACGAAAGAAGAAGAAGAAGGAAAAGTCAAGCTCAACAACAAAAAATATGAACCATCACACAAATAAACTGACATACAGAAAGAAAAACACACACACACACAAGTAATAGGGGAAAATTGTGAGAAAAAATTAACCGAAAAGCTTACCATATCGATTGCACACCACTCCATAGTAATGGGCATAAAGAATATACTTAGAAATGCAAACAGCAATAAAAGTCTTGCAACACAAACACACAAACATAAACGCATACAAACAGGCCCAGAAAATAATAAAATAGGTAATGGATACAATGATACAATAGCTAATCATAAATGATAATAGTAAAGGTGTTCACTTTCCACTACATGGAAATAGGCATACACAACAAAAATGAAGCAACAAAAAAATAAATTAAAGAAAATAGCCAATACAATGTGTGAATATCAAAAGTGAATGAAAACTGAGAAGCTAAATGAAAAACAAAAACGCTCAATCTGACCATGGAACAGCAAACGCTGTCCTTTCGTAGCATCTTAACAATAGTATACATGGCATTTATATCCATTTTCAGACGCATTCCATAATTTATTAACACAATATCCGATAAGTAAACAGCAAGCAAAAAAAAACAACAATAATAACAACCACATCAACAACAAGAACAGAAAAAACACCTATCCAAACACACACACACACACACACACAAAAAGGCTATAAAATATAAAATACAACACCAAATAATGAATATAATATAATCGAACACATTACATTAATAATTACTCTTTACGTACTATAATATACCTAAAGAAATGAAATGTCCACGGCTGAGCAGCCAGTTGAGAGAGGGGGAGTGATAGAGAGATGGGGCGAGAGATAGTGGGAGAGCGTTCAAGCGGTAAAAGTATGTCTCAGTATCTGTTTCTCTGTCGGTCTCTCGTTCAGTCCCATTTCTGCAAGTGACGGACGCTTCATATATTAATATTGATTCATGTAATTTATAATTTATTCGACAACTTACACATGATTACAGTTACTAATAAAAAAAAAGCATAACGTTTAAGGAAATAGTTTTTATTCAGATCGCAAGTCTACCAATAGAACCAATCCTCGGGTCTATAATATGGCAATTGACCAGTTCGATTAATCATATTATTTTTATTTTCTTCGAACCGGGCAAATCAACGGCTATATTCGTCCGTCTGTCATTCGACAAATCAACCAATTTTATTTGAGCGTACTGTCATCAAAACAGACAAACCAATCAAGAGCTAGAAGCTATGATGCTCTCAAATTTTATTCAACATAAAAATTGAAAATCGTAAAATAACCGAAATCGAAACATACACTCACACAATTACATGCATCTCTTTCGTTTTCTCCACCATCGAATTGACCGATGGATTTCTAGCCGAAATGCAAACAATAAAAAAAGAAAAACTGAATCGATCAACTATCACATTGTTTTACCTAGAATTGTTCAAATATCTCAAACATCCATTTTATTGACATTATTCATTGACTAAATAAATAGACAATTATCACAATTAAACACATTACATTTTAAGAGAATGATGATAATGAAGCAACAAGACAACAACATTTCCGCAATTAAAGAAATAGAACTAAAACGTACGCTCAATCAATAAAGTAACCGACTTCAATTGTAGCAAAACAATACTCGATGTATTCCAGTAACAACAACAACAACAACCACAAAAGCAAAACAATGCAACCAAACTCAAATCAATAGACAAATAAAACGTATGGATACCGATAAAAATTATAGAAACAGAATGAAACTGTTTAAATAATGAAGAATTTTCTGAATTTTTTTTTTCTCACACCTACAACACATCGTAATTTTGTACTGTGGGAGTTTATTTCAGTTGTTTTTTTCTATTCGTTCCGGTTTATTATGTGTTTGTCTTTATCGAAACTCATAATTTTTTCTATTTTGCCCCAGTAAATATTTGAATGATAAAAATTTATTGACCTTTCTTTCGAAGAAGAAATTTATTTCAGACAATTTTTATTTTGTTTCAACGTGAAAACAAGAGTTTCCGTTCTATTTGGCAATAAATCATATGAACAAATGAAAAGAAAACACTGTGAAATGTTCAACATCATTCAATCAAATATTTATTTTATTCGGTAAAACGGCAATGATGTGGTTGTACTTGGTGTATTTCTGTTGTTGCTAACAATTCTAATGACTTTAAAATACGTTTCGCATTGCACAGTTTGAGTGAAGTGGTAACCGATTCAAACTGAGCTACACGCGGCGAATTCGAATGCATTCGGTTTTAAAGCTTCAAAAGCTTCGATGACATCATCAACAGCTATACCTGAGTAAAATACCATTGTATTTCTTATTTTGATTTTCCAAATGAGAATTTGTTGATGTTTTTTTTCTCTCAATCGCAAATTCCATTCCAGTAGATGTGTCAAAGAGATTTAGTTACAAATGTACGTAATAAATATATACAAAAAAAAAACCAAACAAACAGATACTTATACTTTTAAAATTAATGACAAAACTAACAATTCAAAATACAAATTCATTATCGATGTCTCGCATTTCACTAATACAAAGGAATTATAAAAGCAAAAATAAAAATTTCAGAAAATACCTCCACTGTGTGTTTGAATTTTGCTCTATTCTAGCGGTGAAATTGTGCTTGGGATGTCCAAACAGCGAAAACCTCGCAAAGGTTTGACGTTGACAGGTTTGGTTTTTCATTTCAGCGGCTGTTGAAAGGTTTTTCCTTACTTTTTTCATATCTTTCGAACGAATTAATCAATAGAACATGAAATAGCAAACGAATGAACGAATAACAAACAAGAAGATGTGCGACACAATTTATTCGAACAAATTTACCAACAAGATAAAGAAAATAATTTTTTTTTCATTTAAATTGTGTTTATTAATCTTAAATAGAATAGTCAATTGTTTGTTGATTCATTTTAACTTATTTTTTAAATCTGTACCTTAAATCAATAAGCTATTTTTGTATAACATTTTGCATCAACCTTTTCATTATGATTTTCATTTCGGATTGATTTAATATATATTTGTATATATGCAACTCAATATTTTCAAATGTTTCGCTTTGTAAGCAACTTAATAAATGTTAAGCAGATGTTTTTCTTAATTTTCATTCAATTTTTATAATAAATAATTTAACAAGCTCAACGGCTAATTGAATCCTACGAAATATATGCACGACCTAAATTATATCGATAAAATTTGCAGGCTGTGTTTGTATTTATCTGTTTGCTAAATAATATGAACGATTTCTTTAATATTAAATCATTTAATGTTCTCAATTCTTACAATTAACATATAATGTATGCCAGTAGATACTTGATGACTTGATGAAAAATATTTTTTTTCGGCATATTTGCGAATTATTAAAAAAAAACTAAATAATACATTTTACAAATTGCTTGCCTTTTTTTTAGAAAAAAGAAACAACACAATATTATTCTATACTAAAGCCACATAAGAAGGGATCAACAGGTTCCAAATTTAACTATATATTGTACACGATATTTGTTTTTTTTTTTAAATATTGTATGTGATATATTTTTAAATGGAAAATTTCCTCTCATCGTCGGTATTCCATAGTCATTTTTGTTTTGTTAATTATATTTCATGTTTAGCTGAATTTTTTTCAATATGATTAGTTTTACTTGAATTGGTCGCTTTCTTTAGTAAAATTGGAAAAAGATGCTTGGAAAAATGGAAAGTGTTTGATGTTTTTTTTTAATTTTCAGTTGTTTGCTGTTGCTTTGCTTTTGGAAAGTTTGGAAAGTGTGATTATTAATTAGATTGTTTGTAGTAAATGCCAGTATTTCTGTTTTTCTATGTATGTATGGTTTTCGATTTATTCGGTGGCAGTATGTTTGCTACCACTGCGATGTGTTCGTCGATGAATTGGTTCTAAGAATGCGGCCGGTGCCCAACCTTCACCACCATTATTGCCTAAGATTCAAAGAGAGAGAGAGAGAGAGAGAGAGAAATATTTAATTTTAATTTTTAAAAAAAATTTATGGAAAATAATTCACGAAAAAAAAAATTGAAATCGAAAAAGACAACAATACATTTTCGGTTAACATTTTCTGTTTCATTTCCAATTTTTTTTCATTTTTGCAATTTCAAAATAAAATTAGAAAATATTCTATGTCTAAGACCAAGATAGCAATTGATATGACCGTTACTTACTCAATATTTTGACGTAGACCCATCCGCCGATGCCTCGTTTCAAAAATTCAACAACGTCACCCTCCTTCATTGAGACTTCAGAATGCCCCATTGCACAGTAGTCAGCTAATGATATAAAACGATTACCCTGGAATAATCGAAATAATTTGCAAAATCAGTCATTTGTCAAAGATCGCCATCGTGTATCAAAATATATGGAAAAGCAATATTGCAGTAAGCATGTCAATGAAAATAGTAACACAAATCCACACTTAAGGAGAAAAAAAAACAAAACAAAAAATTCACCGAACACGCAAGAAAATCCATTTGTTTTTCTACTTGTTGGCTAAATGAATCCAAATTTTTAATATATTTACATGTTAATTGAATGCTGTTGCAATGACCAATTTTCATATGATGCTACTTTGGATTATGTCCGGAATTGTGGGTTATTTTGATGCGTTTCAGTGATCATTTAGTTAGTATTAAAACACAAAAACAAGCCAATCGCTTTGAAACAAACTGAAAAAACAGACGCAAACTCAAGAGAAACTCAAAGTAAAACAAATCTGTCATTCGATCAAAAAAAATGCAGAGAAGAAAAAAAAAACATTTGATTGAAATGTCCGAGCTTGTGTGAGTAGATGAATGTTTGACGGCGTGAGTTTTTTCGTTTGTTGGAGCGAGAGCAGAGTTATTAAACTAGCATGTTCTTAAACACTGTAAACTTACATTAAACATTTGTATCTATATTAAATCCATTAGCCCCCCATTTTGAACACACAAACACACACACAGACTTTGAACTACAGAATTGATTTTATTGCTATTTTGGATTGCTGCCACCGTCCAATCGTCTTTTTTTTTGGATAAAAGCATTTAAATTTTCCCACTTCAGAATTCCACATTGTATGTTTTTTTTTTTCGTGTGCACCATTCTCGTGTTTTGCTTTCATTTTTGTTGTTTGCAACATGTTTGCCTCATGATCAGTCATCAGTCTTATCGAAATTCAGTTTTAAAATTTCATCAATCTTTGGTATTTCGCGTCTTGTTTTTTTTGTTGCATTTTTTTTTAATGTCCATTGTTTAAGGGTTTTTTTTTTTATTAGAAAATCACACGGGAGCCACGGAGAGGGAGACAGTGTGTTTAATCTTCGACTGAAACGTAGAATGTGGAATTCGATTTGTGTTGGCTTTCCTCGATTATCGATGACGGCAATGATGGTAGTGCTGGAAGTGATGAACGTGAATCGCTCGATTTGTTTTGCTTTTGCTGAAATGGTGCCGTGAATACGCTCCACACATCCTTTATTTTAACAGTTTTGGTTTGGTTTTAGTTTTGATGGAATTTCGAATCAATGAGGAATGTTCGGTTAATCGGTCGATGATATGATTAGTTTTGGTTCGATGTTAATTACCAACGCCAAAGGTTTTTGTTTATTGCGTTCATTGAAATGTGTGTTGTGAAATGTCGAATGATGGATGTTATAAAGAAAATTGGGTGTTTTTTTTTTTTTTTGGTTTTTGTTTAATTTGGTATGTGTATGTTGTATGTGTTATATGTGATAGTTTTATTTTGATGTTCGCATTAATTCGGTTATAAGGAAAATGAAGAGAAAAAAACAAATTAAAAATGATTACCAAGTGTAATAAAATTTAACTTAAAAGTAAAAAAAATCCCCAAAAATTGAAATTTAATGGATGAAAATCAAATTTCATTCGAAAATATCAGTAAAAAAATTAAACTATTATTTTATTTGATTTTTGTTCGATCCAAAGAAAAGAATATGGGGTAAGTAGTTTTGTGGTTAAAAATGAACATGTATTGCTTACCAGTGCTGTGTCTTCGGCATTTGGATATTCATCTTCACTGTTTGAATAGTCCGAGCTCCAATCGTGGCCAGCTTCATGATTATCGTGTTCGGATGATGATGAGCTAATGGGTGCAGCTGGTGTTGTAATTGGTCCACTTTCGTCGCTGATGTTCGAGCAACGGTTCGTTTCGTTACTATTTGTGCTGTTGGTGTCAATACTCATTGCACGCTGTGGAGTGGTTTGCATTGCATTTGGCGTATCCCATGAGACAGTCTGTCGTAACGGTCGAAATGGATTGGCACTAGAAAAACGAAAAAAACCGATGCAGAAAAAAAACGACATTTAAAAATACATTTCAATTCACATTGAGCCGAAAATGCGGACGAATTACCTGTGGCTCAAGCTATACTGCTTGATTTTTTCGTCTTTCAGCTCTTCCAGTTGATTGAGTAGCACTTTCTTAATTTCAGCCACCCATTTATTCTTAATTTCAACTGTTGTCGCTTGGATCGTGTGCACTTCCTGTCGACCTTGCAGCCAAACTTCAAAGCGACGTGCATCACCGCGCACCGATTCGGTGAGGCCGATTTGTGACATTTTCACGTAATGCTTGAATTGATAAGTACTTTTGGTATGGCCAGTTTTCGATGCTTGTTTGCAGAAGAGCATCGCCTTTTGATAGAGGAAGATATGGCGTTGCTGTGTTTTCAAGCGCAAACGAATGTCTTTCTTCGATTCAGTCCACACCTGAAATGAATCCTGCAACAACAGTTCGCCCTGTTGTGTTAAATCGGCTGGAAAACCAGTTATTGCAATTTGATGCATCGAATCATTAACACATTTCAGCACGATTAGCATGCAATCGAGGGCCTTTTGCAACTCCTTAGCACATGTGCCATTATCACTAAATCTACATTTGGTTTTTAGGAGAAGAGAGAGAGAGAGAACAAAAAAAAACCAAAATGAATAAAGAAAACGAGAAGAGAGAACAATCGTTTATTTAAATCAGTGTTCTATGTAGTATTGTGATGGGCGCGGCGCGTCACAACCGGCCAATCTCTACATACCTCAGTAAATCTTTGAGCAACAGTTGATATTTGGTTATGCGTTGTACCGGTTTCAGAAGATAAGCAGCCAATGGCAGCTTGTGACCGAGACGTTTTTGGCATTCTTGTAGAAATAGATGTGTATCGACGAGAGTTTCGCGTAACCGCTCCGATCGCGGTATATTTTGGCAATAGAACGAGTAAAGTCGATAGAACGTATCACGCTACACAGAAAAGGGAGGGAGAGGAAACAAAATTATAAGAAACGAAAAAAAAAAAATAGTTTGCAAGAGAATCTTAATTAGATAACATTCCGGCTGGTCACACGGAATAAAGTAATCTATGCAGAAGACTGACTCATATCAACATCATACATACCCGTTGAACAAAGCATAATGCAACTAGTTCCGTGGTCGAAATACAATTTTCCAAGTCTTTCAGAAACACTTCGCTGTGAAATGTGTACAATTCGTTCAAGTTTCCAAACAGAATATCTTCTTTGCCGTGCAATCCAGGCGGAACTAGTGATGCCATTTCTTCGGAGTGGATTTGATCACGATAACCCTAAACAAAGGCGTAAAAATGTGGCGAGAAAGAGTGAAAGAGAAAAGAAAAAGAAAAAATAGAAGAATAAAACGAAACAAAACAGAAAAAGCACACACGAATTAATATAAAATAGAAATATTAAATGCAATAATATTAAATCGTTTAATGGAATTATTATTCGGAATGGATTGAAATGCCGTTACGTTGTAGATGCGATTTGCAATGCAAAATGCTTCGGCCATGTGCACACATGACCAGAAGAGTCTGAGCCAGAGAGCCAAAGCACAGTCATGGCCATTGAATCTATTCTGATTAAAAGCATCATGCATTTGGAATGGGCTGGCTTTTCATCGTCGGCCATAATCACAGAAAAAGAATGAAATTACATAAACTGACATAAAACTCAATTAAATGCGAAATGCTGTAATTGATAATCTTTGCGCCAGCAAATAAACATCGTCTTCGTGGAATAAATTAATCAATTCCATTGCATTTCATTCTACCTGACGAAGTGCTTTTTTTATCTTCTTCTTCTTCTTTCATTTTGTGCGTTTAGTGTTTTATTTTTTGAGCTATCGTTGAAGGAAATGTGCAAGGAAGAGAACACAGAAAGAGATAAAGAAAAGAGTCGAGTAAAATCAGGCGAAAAAACATTAAAACAGAAATTTACGGAAATTTACATAATTCGAACATAAAGTCGTCGATGGATGTAAGTGATTATACTCGTTATGGCGATTATAGATGCGACTTGGTGCTCGATACAATGGCTGCTCTTGCTGTTGCTGTTGACAGCGTCTTCGGCTGCTCTGCGATTGCAGCGTATGTGTATTTTCCTCACGTGAGCAGTGCAATTGATTCCGTTGATAATTAAAATCATAGTAATTCGAGTGTTCGCTTTGATATGGGATTTTCTGGAATGAATTGAGCATGCAGCTGCTGCAATATATATCACAATTCGAACTGTCCAGATATCGACGGCCAAATGACTCATCTCGATTGGCCTGTGAACGGAATAGCGACGGTAATGATCCAGTTGATGATGACATGGAGAAATCTTTATGCTTGCGTCGACCAGTTGTCATGCAACCGCCGGTGCAATGGTCCAATGCTGAACGGCAATCAAAACTGCAACTCTTCGATAGCTTTGCATTTGTTGATTGACCGTAATGGTGATGGTGGTGGTGATGATGATGATGATGCCGATGGTAATGGTCACGTTGTGATTGTGATTGCACCTCTGGCTGAGCCACTGATTCGTTTCGCATTCGTTCTGCGGCTAAGAAATGCTGCTTCGTCACATGATACCGTCGTTGCACATTATCGATGTACGTCTTTGGCAAGTCTAATTTGTCACTTTTCATGGCTGCACTTTTTGGTATCGATCGATCAAGAATCGTACCGAATTTTGCCTGCACATACTCATCGGGCGATGAATAACCTTTGGATTTGATAAATTTACCGATTAACTTCTTGTATTGTCGTTCGGTGTACTTCTTTGCCAACGTTGACGTATCGAATTTACTCCATTTGCTATTGAATGTGTAATGCTCGTCCAGAAACAGTTCACAAAATCGCTTCACATCTTCATAATGATTGCTTTGCTTCGGCAACGATGATGTAAACCCACTATCGCTCACCGATCGTTTGAATTCACGACTTCGATTCGTCGAATTCAACGTGCAACTGGCAAATTTCTCCGGTAAAAGTGTTGTGCTTGTGTTAAAATAGCGCCACTCTTGTTCACGATCTCGTTCACGTTGTTTTTGCAAAATTTTCGAATTGGTTCGGCGATTCAGGCTGGTTGTGCTGCCAATATAGGTCGGTGGTTTTCTCTGTCGACGATATGTACTCGTTTCGAGCCGATCAACCGTTTTGAAGCCATCAACATTTGGATGGACTAACACATTGCGGCTGTTGGGACGATTGCTAGTGCAACCATTGATTTTGTTGTTGCCACCATTGTTGTTATTATTGTAACTGATGAGGCTTTCGTATAGATTTCCGGTCGATTTCCACCTGTACAGTTTCGTGTTATCGGTGGCATTTTCATAAAAACCCATCATATTTTCTTCGATCAATGGTGTGTATGATTTCAGGCGCATGGTTCCCTCAGTGTTTGGTGTACCGTCTTCGTTCAAATAATCCAATATATCGTTATAATTCTTTTTATTCAGATAATCCTTAAACGCGGTGTCCTTAACGATATCCGAATATGAATTCGTTTCGAAATAATCTTTGAGCACTTTGAATTCGGTGTCTTCGTCCAAGTATGATACCGAGTCGAGCATATCTTTCAGTGAATTTGTGTAACGACGATTCAGCGTACTTCTGTTCACGGTATTTAAATCGATTTCTTTTTCCACATACGATCCAATTCCGCTGGAACTCTGTTCGGTTGCATCACAGTGTCGCGACTTTGTACTATGCTTCTTTTCTTTCCTTTCAATGGTTAGAGTTTTAGTGTTTGCACTGGTGCTTTTCTTGGCAGTTGATGTGGTGCTACTCTGGCGGTTTCTTGAATTGAACGACGTACCAGAGACTGGTTGCTGTTCATCGCCTGTTGTCGTCGTTGTGACCGTTGTCGTTGGCGCTGCTGCTCCCGCTGTTGCCGCCGCCGTACGCAATGTGCAATAGAAATTTTCGCTGAGGTAATTGTTTTTCCCCGAAATTGATTTCTGATTATCGCTTAATTTCCGGATGGTATTACCAAACACATAAAAATTATCGCCACGATAGTGTGACTTGGGAAAATCTTTGGGTGAAAATTTTTCATACACCGGACGCGGAAACAATCCAACGCCGTCACGCTCAAACAAGGACGCACGAAACGATAATGGTGATTCGCTGCGTGATTTCAGCCGACGGAATGTTTCGATTTTGCTTTGAAAGCGATCGACAAAGCTATTGGTGGTCGACTTGATTTTACTGAAGCGGAATAGATCAAATTTACGTGAGCGTTCTTTTGGTGCCGTGGTTATGTTATAATTGCCGAATTTCATTATTATCGGGCAGCCCGTTCGATTGGCTGCCGAACGAAATTTATGTTTGGAATTCCGTTGGTTCCTCTTGCCCGTTTCTTATCGTGTACCGGTTGCTTCTTTCAAATTAAATCGTTGTGCACACAAAAGTGTGTGTGAATTTTTCTATTCCGATTGCACCCAGTAGAAGAGCTTTTGATTTAATAATTTATGTGCAAAGAATTCATGTTAAATACGAATAGAAAAAGAAATTATCCCGACTATAATTTTGGCGTGATTATGATCGTTTGCACGTTCGATTTGATATTTTTCCGATCGTTGTTTGTTTTTCTTCTCAGTGAATGTTTTTGCACTCAAATTGACACAAATAAGACAAAAGAAGCAAAATCAGCGCTTCGAAAGCATAACGTAACGTTTTTTTTTCTTCTTCTTCTTTGTTTTTGTTGTATGTTTTTTGCTTTTGCTAATTTACAAACAGAAGAGCGAGAGAGAAAAAAGCACCACAACACAAAATCAATTGTTGGTTATTCTTTTATCGTTCTGTTTCTTTTGGTTTGTTGGTCGCTTTTGCCGCTATATTTAATATTTTTTCTCTTCTTGTAGTTTTGTTAAGCCAATGCAATTGGCACAATGCGAACGGTGTAATTATCATTGCCGGCTTTGTGTGGCAGAGGCGGAGACGCGCACGATTCGTAACAATTGTCACAATTACTGTTTAATTTATTGCCAACGATTATTATAATTTTTCACCCAATTGTGAAGTGAACTTTTTCTTCTTCTTTTTTGTTCGCTTTTCGTCTTTCTCTTCGTTTTGTTTATTTTATTTCTTTTCTAGTGTCTTCTCCGGTCATCAGTTGTCCACCAGTGAGTATTCAGACTCTGTCATTCCCATTGACTGGCTCATTAATGCACTGATATTGTGTAACTGTATCACAATAACACAATCTTAAAATCGTGGTAAATAGTCTACTTTTGCATGAATTTTTAAATCAATATGGTAATTTGCAGTCCATTAAGCGCGATACGAGGCGATAGCAAAAACATGACAAATCCGCATATATACACACAATCGCTGTCGATTCGATGTGTGTAATAGGGCAAATAAATTTGTTGACTGTAAAGCACTAAACTGCATTTAGATATGTTTCTTTCCATAGCGGGTTGATTCCATTTAAGAAATCGCAGTGAGCACATTGTCTTTGTCATTCAATTTAGCATTCGTTTCTTTTGATTGTGTGTTTTTTTGTTTTTTTTTTTTGAATAAATTTTCTCAGCCTTTTCCCACCGATATGGGCTTACGCAACATTGGACTGGTAAACCAGTTTGCATGTGCTTGTTATTGTCGTCCGTGTTAATTTTCGATATTATTTTACACAGAAATTATGCGAATGACAGCAATAATCGTGTCGAAAATTGGTTTGATGTTTTGACACAGCACTGGAATTTAGACCATCGCATTTTCGGAACCACAACACAAGATATGATGCTCCAAAAAGCACTTTCTTACGGTTGATACTTTCATTTTATCGCGATGACATAAAATCAGATAACCAAATGATCGACGCCAAATTACTCATTCGATATTGTCCAAACAAATAAACAAAATATTTGTCCCAAAATTCGATGGAAATGTGAAAACAAACAGAAAAAAAACGGCACTGAATGCAAATAACTGAATGCTGTCCGATGGATGGTTTCCAATTATCGACGTGATCTAGCCGAGATCAATGTGAAAACTAACGCAAATCTCAGTGATTTGGAATTGAAACAACGGACTTGCCGTTAACAGAATGAACATGCTATACGGCTACATGCACACGTCTGCATTTCGATATGTTGAGCGTTTTTTTGTTTCTTCTTGTTTTTCTTCAAAGTTTGCTAAATGCGCACTGCACCACTTATGTGCTTGTATATGTGCAACATGCATGTGTGTGTGTGCGTATGTGAGTGAGTGAGTGAGTGTTTTATCGTCGAGTGTTTATGAAAAGTCTTTTTGCGAATCGATCGCGTATTTATTATATTTCCAAGCACATAACAAATAATTAGTCTTCAAAATATTATTGTTTGCAAGCCGAGCCGAGCCGAGCCGAGCTGTGCATTGTTGATGGTTTTGTATGGAATTATTGTTGCATGGAACATAAATCGGTGTAGCGTGTGCAAAACACTCCATCCGAATGCAACGGTGCAAGAGTAAACCATAAATATTTACGAAGCAATCCATTGCGCGTGGTGGCAAGAGAAAGATGGCAGAACTGATACCAACGCAATTTGTGCGGCGAACAAAAGAGAGAAATAAAAAAAAAACAGTACAATACACATATTGGTGATAAATACCAAAAACATTGGCTGCTTCTAATCATACAATATGTAACAAATAAACAGTAGCTTTCAGCAGCTACCGTGTCCATTTAGCCATGTATGAACGATTCGACGTTTCTCATTCAATCAAATAATGTGTTTCCAATAGTGGTTTCGTATAGGTGGTGGCAGCGGTGGTGCTAGTTGTGTTGGTGATGGGTCGACTTTTTTTTTCTCCATCGATTCAAACATGTAAAACATATTTTTCTCTCCTCATTGTATTGTTCTTTTACATTCAATTTGCCTGGCGGCTTTCGATCGACGTGAGAGTGTGCAATGCGCGCATCGAGCCTCTTCTTTTTCTTCTGAATATGTTTAGTCTGGCATAACCATAATAATATTTCAAAACATGCTTTGCGATTTGAAAATGTGTTTTCCTGCGCAATGTGCATCGATCATCGATCCAACTGAGAAAATGCTAAGTCGAACGAAAATAAAATGAACAATGGTTTGAATAGCACTCAATGTTCGGCAACAAATTGGAAAATATAATCAGCATACTGTTATAGTGTCTGATCTCTAATCTATGGATTGATCTCTAATCTCTAAAATAAACATTTTTTTCGGCAGTAATACACTCTTCCGGAATGCACATAGGAAGTTTTCGTCGAAATCCGACAAAGTTGAATACAGAACGAACGCAAACGCACTTACTTCCCCTCAACAAAAAAATGAATGCAAATACTACGCCAGATCGAGTGTGTTACGTGTTCGCGTAAATTATCATAATTCATCATCACCTTTCGAGTGATTCTCGTCTTTGTTTATATAACGTAACGCAAGTGAATTTCAAACGAACGGTCCCAATCAAAATGTAATTATTTGAAATTACACTTCGAATTTTTTGTTTTGTTTTCAACCGTTTGAACAACCATTCAAACAATCACCGTTTCTTTTCGCAAAGTGGATTCGCACATCCATTGAAAATCAATAAAATATCATTTGAAAGTCGATTTCAAGCACTTTACTCAATTCTAATTTACTTTCATCGCCCGTTTTCGATTGAATTTTTTTTTATTTCACTTTCTTCCCTCATCAAACCAAAAATAATTAGTTTTTACGGAATTTGCCTGTTGGCTACAGGATTCAGCTAGATTGCGCCCGAGGAATTTCTTCCAATCTTCTGCTTGAAAAATTACAACTTGTTGAGTTCTGTTTGTTTGGTGTAGCATTTCTTTCAAAGAAAAACAAAATTGGATGTGCATGTTGTCTTCGCAATTACTATCAATTCCAATGGAGAACTCTTTCCGCCTAATTCTCCTTCCTCATTTCCAGTGTTTGATTTTCCCGTTTTGACTGGTTCTACTTAACATCTGAAATGTCCATTTATGAACCAAAAATTGTAATCATTCGCAATAAGCCTAAATCGGTCAGAACCCTCAATAGCATCGCACAAATCAAATCAACTTAACTTAACGAAAGTTAACAATTCGAAAAAAAAAGAATTCTTGCTAATTGTCTATGGTTTTAAAATGGATAAATGCCGTTAGTTTTACGCTTGAATGGGAATCAAACCATCTTCCATTATCATAATGTTGTAATCGGTTGGCATGTGCTGTGCGTAGAGCATGTGAGTGAATGTAAGAGATCGCGCGCGTGTTCGAGCACATTGTTGCGAGGCTCACGTTGTTTTGCCTGATTTTAAGTTATTTGATTAGTGTATTATTTCCAAAGCCGTCGGCTAGAAATTTTCTTCTCTTCAATCATTATTATTTTTGTGGTGATGCTGCCTGGTGTTGTTGTTTTATCTCTTTCCAACCATTGCCAAGAAAAACTCATCAAGCGTACGCAAAATTTAATGAAAAATCATGAATATGCCGATTTTTACTGTGTTCCAACACTATTCGCAACATTCCAACCGTTGATCGTTTCGGTACTGTGATCGAACGGTAAATCAATCAAATAGATATGCATTGCGAGCAAATACGCTTAAACGAATCTAATGTTAGTCGAATAGAAAATAAAGAAAAAATCATAAAAAGTGGGAACAATACCATCCGACGAGAATCACATTAGCATTTTCTTCATTGGTTTCAGTAAATTTTCTGAGAAATCGATAGATTGCCAACAGCAGCAACTACAACAACAACAGCATGTAAAGAAGTACAATAAATATTCTTTATGTATTTATTTTATGATCAATCCCCCGTTGAATGTAAAGAAGAAAAAAAAACGATGTTTACATTTATTTACTTCGAAATCGAAATCACGCCAACATAACAGGACCATCCTTTTTATAGCCAACATTGCAGCAATCATTTTTCTTTTATGATCGATAAAAACATTTTTAGTGGAAGAAAATTATTTAAATTTGTGCGTGAAACAACTCATTTCTCATTTTCCTTCTCTACCGACTCGATCAATCGGATATGTGAGGCGAAATGCCCATCAAAATGTACACATTTTAGTGTGCTATTGATGCTGCCGCTGCCGCTGCTACTGGGCTGCATCAAGTGAAATCGAAAATCTAGCGCACACTAGTTCAATTGAAACAACAAACTGCACAACATCGAACGGCAAAATCAGAAATTTATTGAAATCATAATTCATTTCTTAATCCAATTTGATAGGCGTCATTCAATCAAATGAAGAAGAAAAAAAAACACATAAAAATGTTTCACTTTCTTTTAAACGTTGATCGATTAAAAGCAATTGCCGCTAGTTAGGTTTGTTTTGACGGAATGATGCGAGGTAACGTGAGAGATTGAGAGAAACAAATATCGGGGAAAGTTATACTTATAGTTAAACATTAAAAATAAACAGAATAATCGCCCGATTAATAGTACGATGAATAATCATGCCGATTCACATGGCTATTTTTTTCGTCGCGAAGTGATTTTGCTTGTAAATCGCTAAATACTGTAACGGAATGGCTGAAAATTTGGAAGAAAAAATAAACTTACCCTTAGAATGGATCCCATTTCGGCGACGTATATTCGTTCAGTTTCAAGCAATTCAGCTAGAACATGGCCTCGTCTTGATTTTCGCGATTCAATGTCCTGCAAGCAAATGAACAACGAACATTACTAAAGTGACACATCGCATGCGGCAAAGAAAGACCATGGCTTAATACTTACACTCTGATTTTGAATGTGATGTTGTGATGAATTATCACTATCTGGACTAGATATTGTGTCTCCATTTAGCGAGATACCGGAATCCATTGGCCCCTCCATTGACTGTGGACGCGAACTTGATCCATCGACCTGCAAAATATGAGTGAAAACGAAAACGAATGAATAAAATCCATTTTGAGTCGGTGTACGTCAATCAATCTTAATTCATAAATTGGACAAGGTAATGGGTATCATCAAAACATTTTTGGCATACTGTAATGAGCATTTGAGATTCACTTCTTTTTTCTTCTCTTTTTCACAATTCAAAGCACCCACTTTGCGAGCATGACATCTGTCACTTTTTCTCGCCTCAAGCAAAATGACGATATTCAATTAGTGATTTTGCGATTTGACGACGAAAAAAAATCAACAGCAAAAATACATTTTGTCGAAGTCCATCCATTGATTGCATTTACAAGGTTTTGTCAAATAAGTGAGTGATCATTACTCTGAAAACTTTACCCATACTAACAAAATATCTAATGCTTCAATCATAACCATTTTCATCTGCTTTCGACGCATGTCATTGACTGCAAATTATGTTCCTACACACACATTCGAATTGCTGTCATTGTGAAAAAAAAACATGTACTTTTTTCTTTCTACTTTATTTTGCTATGCGAATCATCTAAGAGAACCAGCATTTACGAGTGAAACAGTAATTTTGTCGCTTTCGAATAAGTAATTTCATCTCAAATCGATGAAATGAATGTTCAAATCAATGACACAAAAAATTATTTTTATTCATTCAAACGGATGGAGCAAAGATATTCTCTTATTTTTTGGCGTTTTTTTTTCTCTCTCGATGCTGTTTAAATATTTGATGGGTATGTTTTGCTTTGCGTCAATAATACTAATGCATACCGCATTGTACGAATATGTGTGAGAGACAAAAAGGCAGTTGATTGAACACGTGCATGTATCTATACATATACGCATTTAGTTTGGACCACCGAAGTGTGTAACCTTTTGGATTGGGAGTGAGAATGAAATGTTCGGTCCAACAGCTATACAGAAGAAGACAAAGAAAAAACACTATGAAAAGGTCAAACACACGGTTACGCACAAATCAAAGATATCGAGTTAAAATAAAGCGCATCGATATGGATAATTCCCGCAATAATACTGAATATTGACGGCTGCTTCGGTTCGGTTTTATGAATATTGCTCCGAGCAACATTGGCAGGAAGTGCTTTTTGCCTCAACCTGATGATGGGAAACTAATCAAACAATAACGGTAGCCAACTAGCTTCAGACTTTGGAAGAGAGAATAAACACGCACATCATACTCGGTTGTTATGGCTGTTGTTTGGTTTTTGTTTTATCTCTTCTGTTTTTCTTTTTTGTTTGGGGGGGGGAGTGTAATTTTGCACCAATACCGTACCGTCATCTGATGTGTCAAAGTGACGGATATAGCGGCATACACAATGGAAATATTTACATTAAGATGTCGAACAAAATATGAACATTATTTTAATGCTATAGTCTGGTAATTTGTTCATGAATGTGACGTGCATCGTATGAGAGAATGTCTAATTGAGTGTGTGCAACTATGCACACCATGAGTGTTTTGGATTCGTCATGTGAGTGTGTGATCGGTTCAGCCTTTGTTTTGAATAAAAAATTTACTGCGTGCACTGGAAATTAATAAACAATAACAAATAACGGAGGAACGGAGGAGAAGAAAAAAAATGTAATAAAATAAAATAGAAAAACCAAATAAAAATGAAGGCAGAAGAGAGCGAAACAGAAAACAGAACAATTCGACAAAACAATGAATGGCTCAAATGTTATTGAAACCTCAAAACACACATACAACACATTCACTTGCCCCATTCGCGCTGTTGCTTGGATCGCACATTTTTTTCCCTTTCTATTTACTAACACGATTACTGTGTGTGTCCCTTTTCCCGTTCAATTTAAATACGTACATATATAAATTTCATTCTTTCCATTCAATCCATTTCCTCATGATTTCGAAAATGGCACAGCACCCATTCAGCAATAGAATTGATGGCTTCAAATCATTTAATCAATTTCAAAATATTTTTGTTTATCAATTCCATGAAAACGTTGTAAAAATTTGTCAACGCACATGACGAATCTGTTATTGATGTCGTTTCACGTAAATTCAGCAAATGCGTCTCTGGAGAGCGGGAAAAAACGTGTCCCATTTTTCCATTGCGATTAATGTGCGCGTGTTTTCACACAAAATTTGCCATAAAATCAACAACAATTTATAGTTAGCGACATGCGTACAATGTATTTATTATTATTTTTGTGTTTTCTGAATACTTTACTATCAAGAACTAAATTTAATTGAGAACTATGTGTGACGAGGACATGGTTACTTTTTTTTTGTTGTTGTTGTTATTGTTGTTGTTGTCATTCGGTGCGCCCAAGTCAAAATTAACATGTTTACAATGTTCATATCGCGCTATTTATTTTTATTCCACACTTTTTATTCTGTCGAAAACTGTTGTCGACACAAAATTATCTGTTCTATATCCATATTTTTACACTTCTGCTAATCAAATAGCGACAAATTTTCAAAATCTATCATATAAGTGTGTCTATGTAAATATTCTATCTACTCTCGAATCGATCGATCGTTCAAATGCGGAATTTCATCGAAATGACATTCAAAGTGTTGACGATTCGGGTGAATATTTTTAAATATATTCATCTTATTTGCCGTGACAAAATATTGATACAGTAAGTATCCAATTAGATTTACTTCCATTTATCTGTTTACGATTTGTGGGTGATCGCGTGTATCGATGGAGGATTTCTTTTGTCTTTCGTAATGACGGACTTTGCACGCCATAATTAAATCGTAGTAGATTTTAGTCATTGATGGTGGGTGAGCACAACGAAGACAGAAAGACAAAAGTGTTCATCAATAAATGATTGCAACACATGTGCGAAAAATGAGTGTTTTGAAGACTTTGATATTATTTGAGCGTACTGAGGTCGTCAAAATGTAGAACATTCGGTGATAAAATAAAAGGTCTTTTCTGTGCGTATTTGCGAATGGCCTTTGCTCTGCCTGAATATAAAAATGGAATTTTATTTCATTTTCATGTGTCTCGTTAATGTCAGGCCAATTTATTATCGTTCGCCTGAAAAGTTGTTGAGATTTGCGAAAGTCAAACTCAAGTAATGCCATTCAGATAGATTGTTATATTTACCATGGTGCACCGTATGCACCAACATACGTAATCGAATCACAGAAAATAAAAGAGGTTGTGTGACGCCAAGTGTGGCGAGTTCATGTGAACCACTTGTGTGCGCGTCAAGAGAGAAAGAAAATTTAAGCATATAAGCACAGTGCACATTTTCATACCCCGCTGAAATGCGACCCGATCCAATGGCGACAACAATAGCATTTTCGGTGCACTTTTTCTTTTTCAATTTATCAGCGCTCATTTCATTTTCATTCAATTGAATCGCACTGTGTGAATGCAGTCGCTTGTTGTACGAATGACAATCGAAATGGCAGTTTTGATTGTGGGTGTCACTGAATTTCTTTTCTTTTTTTTTGTTGTTGCTGTAGTCTCGGTGCGTTTGCCACAATCATAACTATTCAAATACGAGCAACAACAAAAAATATGAGCCACGCATAATGGCCTCGAGCAAGTGAACAACAGCGGCACACAGAGAGAAGAAAAAACAATGGATTCACTTAATTGCATTGTTTTCGTGCATTCGGCGAAAGCACACATTAATTTCAGAAAAAGACTTTTATGTGCGAACCAAGAATTTTAATTTGCACTACAAACTCCAACCGAAGTGGTGCCGTGTATATGGGTTTTTGCGATGAATACGAGGCAATGTACGCGAAATTACGTTCTCGTATCGCTAAAATAATCACATCTTTCATCAATGGGTTGACTGACTGAAAATGAATTCAATTTGAAACTTCAATATTCGTCGCGAATCAATGGAATGAAACAGTAAAGACGCTTTGCTTGCGTTTGCACGAATTCTATTAATTGACCATAGCATTTGTTGTCATCCATTAGCATAAATGAAAAGAAAAAAACAGTGATTTTTTTCAATAAACATTTCGGACAAAGTCTCAAATGGAATGGTTTGACAAGTAACGGTGGCGAACAGACACAGCCTCATGATGCCCCAAGCCAATGTTCAACTTGTTTTTGGTGAAGTGACTTTTAACCGTCAGATTAAGAATGGATTCGATTGACGAAAGTGAAGTCAGAGCTGAACATTGATCAAATGGAAAAGGTTAAGGCTAACCACCCGTTTTGTGTCGCCTCACTTCACATACAGTTCGAATGTATACCAAAAATAAAACACGTTGAAATTGATTGTTGCTGCGGTTTTTTTTTAAAGATTTTTAATTATTTTCTTTCGCCGCATATTCAATGGTGAATAACGTGTTTCACGAATCGTGATTTGCACCGATGCTATTGTGTGGCCAGTGTATATTAACTGTTGACCAATTTGCATCGATACTTTGACTCCGTTGTTCTTGGCTCATTTCCCTTCCACTTGAATACACTTGTGTGCTGCAGATGATTTAATATACTCGACGAAGATTGACTACTGAATATGTGTAGAATTTCAATTTCAAATGGTCATGCGTTCAATATGCGAACGAGCGATTTCCATTTGTTTGAAAAACGTATCAATTTCACTTGGCCAACACACAATTCGTGTATGCTCAATCGTCCATATTCACACTCATTTTAATTTCCAAAAATTACTTTGCATGTTTCTAAGCTGATTGTTTCGATTATTGTGGCTTTTCAAAAGCACAAATCGATTCAAGACTCTTTTTTCTCCTCTCTCTCTGTGTGTGTTGTATGGCAAAACGTGGCGCATATTGCTTTCTGTTTAGAGAAAGCAGTATTTTCTTTTTTTTTTCTTCTTGGTTAAACAGTTTTAATTTTTACTGCTCAACTGCTCAATGAATAATAAATAATGAATTCGTAAACACTTCACAGATCGATGGAACATTAGAAATATGAATAGTAATATAAGTAAGCACACATTGAAACTGAGGCAGCGCGCGATAAAGAGGCTAAAGCAGCGTAAAAAATATACAAAATTAGCGTGCAATTCAACAAAAATTTCAGTTTCATGTCCGAGATGCAAGTTACGCTTTTGGTGTGAGAGAGAGAAAATTGTTTCATTGATTTGTAATATTAGCGGAATCTAAATTACAGCTTTCAAATGTGAACGATCCTTTTTTCAAGGGCCAAGAAAAATGCTCGTTTTGAAAATGCTGTATTTCATGCGGGATACGAACAGCCGGTTGGCTCTCACTTGTCAATGCAATTCTTTTTTTGAAGACACTAAGTTTTTTTTCCAAATTCCAATTCAAGTGTTAAATTAATGGCAGGAAATAAAATTACAAGAACCTTAATAATCGCCTACGATGAGCAAAAAAAAGTTAAATTGCAATATTCTAACGGCATTTCAATTGTCGAAGGTAAAAAAACACAACAAACAAACAGCAATAATACGATTTCATTGCCTTGAGCTGTACATCAGTTATACCATGTTAATATGTTTGATTTGTTGTTGATGTTAATGTCGTTGGATGGAAAAGAATTTTGCTTATGACTTATGAGAGATGCCTACACAGTTACAACAAGTTAAATATTTCGTACAGAAGCTTTTACATTTTCGCACGGCGCCTAAGCCGTTTCAATTTGTTGGATTATTTTTGCGGGATCGAAGCAATTCGTTCGCATGTAATGCGCCCGATTACCGAATTGATGTGCGATTGTTCATGGCTTCGGGGGCCGGTTTTGACTCTGGGCCAAACTCATAAACAAACACAAAAAGACAATTTATTTCATGGATTAAGTGTTTGTTTCTTTATGTCTGACCGCCATAAATTATAGGATCATTCGCACATACTCATCATTACGAGTCAATAAACCGAAAACATCGTATATTGATCATAAATTACCCAGTCAGTTTGCCGTTGAGAGAAATTCATTTTTTAAATTGCCTTTTTCTTCTTATTTCTTATTTCTGCTCATGTTCTCTACCGAAAAAGAAAGTCGCTCATTCTGACCGAGCTGTACAATGGACACCATTCAAATGATTTAAATCCAACGATTATTGGCGGTTTTCATATTTCCACATATTCTACCGACAATCCATCCACACACGCACGCATACACATACACACATACACATCCAATCGCCATGGGCATGTTCGATTTTATTAGGCGAGAGGGAGAGAGAGAATGAAATTAAATTTAAAATAGTAATGCAGTCACCATTCTAACAACACACGACTAATTAAATGTTGGGAAAGGGAAAAAATGCAAACATTCAACAACGTAATCCAATTACCGAAGCTCTTTGGTCATTTTCGTTAGCAATAAGTTTCATTGATCACATGAATTTATGACCAACGGAACTTGTTTTGACTGGCTCAAAGTTTCGGTTTGCAAATTGCAAGCACTTGCCTTTGATTGCATCAGATTCGTCAATCAAACGAGTGCGAGCATGCCAAGAGTTAATCAACCATATTTTTTTTTGGTCAGAGATTATTTGTACGATTTTCGCAGAGAGATTACTATGCTCATAATCGATTTGTCTATGCTCAAGTCGACAAGTGACAATTCCTTCTCTTACTGTATATCTTTGGTCATTTTTCAATAAATGATAGAGAATGTTACCTCAAGATCGTCATCATCTTCAGCATCGCCGCCGCTGCTGTTTGTGCTGCTACGATTCCGCGAACACGTGCACGAGCCACTGCTCGATCGCATCTCATTCAAATTAGACACTTTATCTGAATCCGATTTGCAATTGCAACACGCATGCTCATCGTAGTAGAAGCAATCATTCCAAAATATGGCACCGTCACAACCGAGACGACTCGGGAACAAATTCTTCAAGCTTTTACTCGATCCCATTGTTAGATCGGCCTGTGAGTGTTGCAGTGATGTGGGCGTTAGAAGGTTTGTGGTTGGGGTGATGCCGAAATCGACAATATTGCACTTTTCGTCTGCGTCAGATACAGAATCAGCGGTTGGCTTTTTCTCCGTATCACATTCATTTGGCACCGAATCATAGTAATCGGACACGGAATCAGCTGACGATGATGTCTCATAAATGGGTGAGTTCGAAGCCGTTGCCCGAATGAAAATTTTCACACGATTATCGTCTTCGTTCTTGCTGAATGACACTTTTTCCGTTGTCGACAGAGCATTGTTGAATTTCTTATTTTCGATCGTACTGGTCGAATTAAAATCCAGCTTTTCCACACTCTTGCATTTCATCGAATTATTCAGATTCTGTTGATTTGGCATGAATTTGATGGGAATCGTTGTGCCACCGTTATTTGGACATGCATTTGTGCTGTTGACATTCAAATTGGTAGTGTTTTTCAAATTTTTCAAATTATTCAACGTTACACCATCGCCATTCAGTTCAAAGTCCTTGAGAAATTCGTCATCGTCATCGTTGAAATCTTTTGTCTTGAGATACAGTTTGGATTTATTGCTGATTGTATCGATTTTTGTGATGCTAATGTTATGGCCATTTTTCAATTTGCTGCTCTTTTCGTGAATCTGTTCCTTATCGCTGCTGTTGATCGATGCTTTTGAGCAGATTTTTTCACTGTTTTGCTCCCGATTCACGTTTGACAGTGCCGCCGTTATCGACGACATTGGGCAATTGATGAACGTACAGTTTTTATAGCCACATGTGCTTGGCGATCCATTGCATTTGGAATTGAATTGCCCAAAAAGTGGCACACCATGTTCAATTGAAACGGATTTTGATCGTGTTTTATCCAACAAATAAAATCCTTTGTCAACTTTTTGCGCGGTTGCGTCATCGTATTCAGCGCTGTTGCATTTCACCATTCGATTGGTCTTTTTTGGTGGTAGCGTCGGTGGCGATCGATCTGATTTGCTGCCACTGTCCGGTTCCATTACGGGAAACTCCAGCTTCCTTCGACTTCGCATGCAATTCTCATTTAAGCGATTCAAATCGGAAAATTTTCCGCCGGCATCCGAAAACAAATGCGATGGTGCGGATTTCTTGCGCTCGTTAACTTCTCGCAATTGTTTCGGTTTGTAGTCACACAAACACTTATTCTCAAAATCAGTGCTGAGTTTTTTGATTTTCTTTGATGTGGACGCAGTTTTATTGTCGCTCTCGTTGTTCTCACTGGTTGTTCTTGATTTGATTTCGCTGCAAATCGGAATTCGTCCGCCGTCGAGAAGATCATCGGCCGATGCTCGCCTTGTTTCCCGGAACAATTGACCGATTCGTGTCAAATCGACTAAAGATGAATCACGCGACATTTTCTTTGCCGATGGCACATTCTTCGTGTATTTTTGGCCGCTTGCATTGCGGCTACCGCTGTTTGCGCCATGCAACAATGACTTGGTTGCTTTTACAAAATTCCAGCTGTTCGATTTATTCTCGTAGTTCGGTGGCGGTACGGCCGGTGCTAAACGCTTGACCGATGCCTTGGCTGGTGCCTTATCCGAGGTGTTTGCATTCGGCATTAGTACACCGTAAATTTTGTTGTCAACGTGTCGTTCGTAGCTTTTGCTATCGAAATAAAATTGAATGTTATCGATGGAGTTGCGCTTTCGGCCGTCGAACATTGAATACTTTTTCTTGGCTTTGAATATGGCATCGTCATTAGTGTACTGCAACTTTTCCGATTTTAGTGCGGCGGTTGTGTCACACGAATTATGCTTTTTGTATACTGTGTACTTGAGTGGATTTTGATGATGGCTTGGCATTGGCAATGGCTGGGATTTGGTCGGTGACCCTTTGGAATTTGCAGTTGTCGTTGTCGTTGTCGTTGTGGTTTTTGTCTTGCTGCTCGAACTGTTGTGCTCTTTGCTGTTATCATTGTTGCAACCGGACAGTTTGGCTAATTCACTGACTTTTAGCAAACCATCACTGTGAGACCGTTGATATAGCGGCTGCCTTGGATGTATGCGCTTTTTCGCTCTCAACTGTACCACATCGCTGTCATCATTGTTTGCCGTCAAACTGTTACGGCTACGTGACACATAGCTAATTTTCAGCAGTTCCATTTTTGGAATATTTTTGTCCACATAATCAGCATCGACGATGTCGGATGCATTATCCGAACACGATGTTTTTCGCGATGAATTCGACATCAGTGTGGATGTCATTAGGTTTGTGGTTGGCATTTGCTTACCGAGTTTCATATTCAGTTGATATGAATGGGCTGACGGTGTTTGCATCATTTCTGTATATTTTTTCTGCTGCCTTTTCGTGGTGTCTGCTTTTGTTGTTTTTTCTTTCGTTTTTCTAATAATACACCTAATTTTTAAATGTTTTCAAAAACTTTCATTTCATTGCTGACGTCTTTTCGTTTAAATCATTCCATTTTTGCAAACAAAACAAATGCATATTTTTCGGCTTAGATCATGTAGTTTCAACAGTTTATTTTTTATGTTTATTGTTCTTTTTGGTTTTCACTTTCCCTTCTGGAATCTATTGGGCACGATCGAAATGAACGACTTTGATAAAATGCTTCTTCTGTTTGTTTCGTTGTTATTGTTCATTAGAGAAATGCACATCAATTCCGGTTGATCATCAGATAATTTCTTGAAGCACATACTTTTCAACCGGTTTCGCTTCTTCTTGCTGTTGCTGGTTTTATTTTTCCTATGTCGATGATGAATTTTCTAGATATCTAGAAAATTACGCAGCAATAATAATTAAATTATGACTTGTGCTCGAGCGATATGTATCGGTGGAGATTCAATTAAATGTTTGTGGAAATCTCAGTGCTTCGATCAAAAATTGAAGCATACAAATAGTTCTTGATTCACGTGACCGAGAAAGTAACAAAATTGACTTGTGATCGAATCAGATTGGTTTTCTTTTCCACGGAATCACTACTAAGCCCGTCAATTGACAACGAGAAAGATGAATTATACCTCTTTTCTTCTCAATTATTTTCAACGCTCGTAGTAGCTACCGATTGTTCTGGATTAGATTGTACTGTGTTGTGGCTAGTTTTATTTAGCTCTTGTGAAATTGAGGCATTGATTGCGCTGGTCGATAGGTTGTAGCGCCACAGCGTTTCATTTTTCTAGTTTCACTTATTGGTGTATAATAATTATTTGTGATCTGCTTTTTCTCAACTCGAGCTCGAGATATTTGTTGAAAATCTGTTTCCGGAGTCGATGTTCGAGTGATTCGGTAGTTTCAGTTTCGTATTACTTTCCTTTTTCTGCTGTTCAGCAATTTTTTCTTATTAACACAATTTCAGTCTTTCTCAAATTTAAAACTTAATCCAGTTTTTTTTCCTTTGTATATGTGTTCATTTAGTTGTAGCTATTGTTGTACGAAACGGAACATTCCGATAATTATGTATACAGAAGAAAAAAAATGCGTATACAAATTGGAGGCATCCAAATGATCGTGTGTGTATGAAATGTGCGAGAAGCAAATTGATCGAATGCGCGCGCTTTCACAGCTCAACGACAGCAACAGCGGTGAAATTTGTGTATTAATTCGTATGGAATCAATTATTTCGGATGCGCGTCAGAATTTGTGTGTCGGTGCAATCGAATGTTTGTCAGTCGTAAATGATCGAAGATGCCTAGCCTCCCAAATCAATGAAATGAACAAAAGGTAATCCAACGTCAAGTTTTTTTTTCTTCAATTTTCGGTTGAATTAAATTTTCCTCAATGCCCTTGGTTATAAGTTTTTTCTTTCTTCGGTTGCGGTTAATGATGATTACGATGAGAGTATCGGACGCTGTTCAATTGTTCGATGATAAATTGATGATCAGCTATTAACAGTGCAATTTGTATTTGGAATTGAATCGTTGATTATTAACTTGAGGCAAATAAATCATAGATCGTGTCGTCTCTTATATACAATGCGATCCGTTCATTAAGCGGGGCGTAACACATCAAAATGAAAACAAATTCGGTCGAGAAGATGAAATGATGAAACAAAAAATCACTTAATTGTATTTGGAGCTTCAAACAAAAAAATGCCGCCGAAATTGATTGATTTTCATGTAAATTCACTTAAAATGCTGCGATGATGAAATGACTCGGTTGGCACTACCTAAATTGATTAGAAATTGACAAACTGCCTATGAATATTCGATCTGGCAAAGATCAACACGATAAGATATTGTTGAACGATATCTTTCTTCTTCTTCTTCTTCTTCTTCTTCTTCTTTTCTTTTAACACGTTCTTTTACACAAATTCGTTAATTTGTCCTCGAAATTTTAATTATATTCCACATTCGATCATATGAATTAAGCAACACACAGCTTTATGCGTTTGTTTCTGTTTCGACAAAAATATTTTTCACTAAAAAAAATGCAATCCAATCGAGCAAAAATGTCAGTAAACTCAAACTCGTTTTCTTCACGAAATTGTTTTCTTTTTCAAAATGTATCACACTCTCGGGCCAAATAAATACAAAGAATGAAAGAAAAACAAACGAAATGCTTCTTCTTTTCGTCAATTCGTTGCACTTGGCTTAATGTTTTCTTTTGCACCATCTGAATTTGGAGTCTGTCTGTTCTTTTTCTTTATTTTGCACCATGTGTCCACTTTGTCAGTTGCAAAACGGATTTTGCACTGTCCGAAACGAATTGAGTGATGATGTAAATGACACTGTATACAAACACACACATACACGCATCAGAATGGTACGGGGAAAAGGTGCAAGAGTTCAATCGAGTGCGTTCTATGAATAAATTGTTCTTTGTTCGCTGGTCGATTGTTCAGTCTTTGTCACAATCATTCATTTGTTAGCCACTTCTTTCCATTAGCGCTTCAATTACACGTGAAAATGTTTATTGTTTATTCAACACAGTCCATTGGTCACATCAGAATCTCTCGCTGGTGTAATGATTGGAAATCGCAGCGAGTGAGAAAAAAAACGGCATTCAGAAGAGAATCAATTAACATTCAATTCGTTGCTCTTAGTCAAATGTATAATGAATGGGATCGATAACGGCCGCAAAACAAAGTTTTTTTTTCCGTGTTTTGTCCAATCTCTTCACGACATCACGACACACGCACTTTTCTGCATTCAATTACAACAATTGTGCGGCTAAATGTTCTGTTATTCCACACATTTGTTCATTGCTTTTTTTTGGCAACGTTTTCACGAGACACGCGTCAAAAATGGACATCCAAGCGAGTTTTTTTTTGTCACTGAATAACACTTTGACCGTTGCCACTGCGAGGAAAAAAAAACCTCATTCACGTCAAAATACCGAAAAAACGCAACGTACTCACTACAATACACTTTTCAAATTTTCTTGAATTAATGTTTCTTTGCTCTTGTTTTTTTTTTGTTGCTTGCTTGGTTTCGGTCATTCAATTCTGAATCGGAAGTAGAAAAAAAACCACTTGATTCGTTGATTGTTCAGTTAAATTGTTAGTTCGACGAAACAACTACGGTTACGATGATCAGTTTTCATCGTAGAGAGTGTCACACAAAACGCGTCTTGTTCGTATGAGCACAGTTTATTCACTAAACTGTTGTTTCATTCGCAACGACACCAGTATCTACCTGTTGCTTGTACAACGTACAAACTCTTTTCCTTTCTCTCTACGCTTTGTCGTGTCTTTCTCACTGCTGCAACCGACCGAACTGAGTCGTGTGCTCTGCGTCTGCTCTTTACTTTACGCGTGTGTGTGTGTTAGTGTGTGTATGTATGTTCGATTGAGTGAGTGACTTAGTGAGTATGTTTTTTTGGTTTGGACTCGGCATTGCCGAACGAACTATATGTTGCGGTGTTACTCAATGTGAGAGAATATCTTGCAATTTGCTATCGCACGCTTATTTTTGCGGTGATGTTTTCTGTTGCACAAACATGCATAATAACAAAACCAGAGGAAGAAATGATGATGAGCAACGGCAAACAAGCATCATAAGAGCACATTTTGTGTTGAGTGTGAGCGTTAGACACCGTATTTAACACACTTTTGAATGATCGCCCGTTTTTTTTGCTGTTGTTGTTGTTGCATCTCGTTCTTCGTTTGCGCTCGATGAACGTTCAGAACGTTTTCCTAAATTGATTTAAATGAATTGATTCGACGTTGTGTGTGAGACGGCGAAGATGAAGCGTGACTTTTTGAGGTGACCAAACGGTCATGATCAATGTATGTCAAAGTCGGTGCGTGTCCACGTAATCAAATGGTCGGCCAATTCTGCGGGTTCTTTCAGTTTTTCATTGAACAAAAATCATAATTTCATAATCGATTACCAGTATCGTTGCTGTTGTTTTGATTTGCTACTGGAATTTGTTTGTAACAATTCATTGAATGACGCTCAAATAAGAAACACACACACACACACACACACACACACATATGATGAGATTAAAAAGCGGTGAATGCGCAAATTCCAATGAATAACAATAACAATAATAATGTTGAAGAAAGAAAAACAGAAAGAAAAACCTTACATTCGTTTGTTGTGCGCTTCTGCTCTAATTATCACCGAAAAAAAATGCGTTACTCTTTACGTGTGGTTTTTTTATTATAAAATATTTGGCCTCGTTGCCGTTGTTGACTAGCTCATTCTCATTCTGATTCGCTCAGCGATTCTTTGAATTTTTCGGGTTTGTTTGTGTTCTCACTCAAAAAATGGCTGAAAGATTGCGATGAGCGCAAGCAAACGATCACGAACACATCACAAAACCCAGATACACACCATCACTAACCAATAAAAACGTAGACAATCGCATCTTGGATGCAAAACAACGAAATAGAGACAGAGGAGAGAAAAAAACAATAATAAATTTTATCAACTTTCTATAGGTATAGAGAGTATATATACTGACGAACGACCTTGTTGAATGAATTTTTTTTTAGTTTCACCGTCTTCTGTATTATCCGTCACCGAACGATTTATTTTTTTTAGTTTTTGGGCATTCTTGATCGATTCTGCTCCTGATTCTGCGCTTATTTTTATCGCACGCTATTGTCAAGCCAATCAGTTTACTGTTAGATCTGATTCAATTGAGATTTTTTTTCTGACGAGGTGATTTCGGTTTTGTGTCGTTGTTTAACGACTCTAGCTCATTCGTTCGATTGAGAATTGGAAATGAACCTCTAATCGAATGCCAAAATGCTTCGTTTTTTCTTTTCTTTTTCGAATGAAAAATCTCAAAAATAGATTCATCCGTTTGCTTCGTCCAAAACAAATGATTGTGTTTACGCACGCAAACTGTTCAAACGTATGCATACACAGGGACAGTGAGAGAGATTGGTGTTGGTCTGTGTGAAATTCTTACGAAGTGGCCACATCATACCGAGCATGTTCTTTGCATCCGATGCAAACAGAATAAATAGCAAAGCAAGGAAGATGAAGCTAGCACCAGTCATTAAGGTGTTCATGTTGTTGCTAGCTCATAAGAGAGTGTGGGATCCGACGAGCATGCAATTGCGTAGATTGTGATTTATTGACCGTCTCTATCTACTTATTTTCGAGATCGAATACTTCGAAGACTTTCATTCTTTTTTCCGTCCGTGTGTTTTTTCTGTTCTTCATCCACCTAGGCTGTGATTCGTTGCTTGGATGCATTTAAAGGTCTTAGCTTGCGTGTACTTTCAACGCGAAGAGCATCGACTTCAGAGTTCATTGAAACCGAAAAGAATGCAAACAATTAGTAACATCGTTACAGTCAATTCAGCTGCGAACGGTCTGATCAAACTTGAAGTTTGAAAGTCTCGCACATACGGAAGATGTGTGCTTGGAGCTACTAGGTAGTATACCTTTTACGGAGATTTCAATAAAAGCGAATGATTTACAGGCATTCAATTGGATATGTTTTCATTTGCCAAAAATTTACATGTGTGTTCTTTCAATTTGAGTCGTGTTGACTTTGTTTGAACCAAACTTTTGGTGCTAACTCGAAAATCGTTGGTTCTACCGTAAATACTAGCTAATACAGTCCAAACTCTTCAGCATTGCTTCAATTATTTGCAGATTTTACACATAAATCACAGATTGAGTGATTCTCTCTCTCTCTTTATCTATCGCCGTGGAGGTTGCATATATGTATATCCATTGTGCTCGTCGAAAGACGATTTCAGAGCGTCAGTTTTTTTTCCACGGTGCTGTCCGCATTGTGAATACTTATGATGTGTACGATGCACATGCAACAGATATACTCTCAATTCAACATGAGAATATTTTTCAGTACATACCGTTGAGGTGCAACAGAACCAACTCAAGGTGTAATCATAATAATAAAGAGAGAGATGTGGTGTCAGTACACGGGGGAAAAAATACACTGAAATATCGATTATTGCATTACAATAGACAATCGACGTTTTCATGTCTGAGCAATACCACCGAAACGAAATGCCTGTCTCTCTCTCTGTGTGTTTGTGTGTGTTTATTTTTCACTCTTCTCGATGCTGCCACAACTTATCACAAGTAATAAGCAGCCAAGAAAAGAACGTATACGAAAAATGCTGATTATGTGTGATGTTTTTTGTTTGAAACAATTTTTTTCCTCCTTTCCTAAGAAACGATTTAAGAAACATTATTGTGTAGAGACAGTTCAACGTCGACAGCGAGACAGTTCACAGCTATTCAAGAGCTCTTCGCACCGCAAGCGTTGTATGATTGCCTGAAATCGGCCTATACACCATTATTTACACTCGGCACAGCTACGGATCACTTGCGCATTGTTATATCGTATTGCTGCGATCATTTTCGTTCATATTATTACTATTATCATTACTCGTATTCGACGACTAAAATCATAGCTACACCTGACAGCTCCAATTTACCTATTTAGCGCTTGTTCTTGTTTTCTCTCTCTCTCTCTGGCTTCCATTCACACAGAAACGCTCGAAGCGAACAAACAAAAAAGCATTCGAGTGAAATAAAAATCACCAAGAAGAATGAAGAGACCGGCCACATGAAATGATGGTTCTAGTAGTAACAATAGTGAGCATCAAACGTGAAATATGTTCAACAATACATCAATTTTCCCTTTGTTTATTTCACATTCCATCGGTTGTGGCTGGTTCGTGCTGCTGTCGCCCGTGCTCCGAAACAACACCCAAATGTGCAACGAGCAACAGCAATTTTAAAATGAAATTTTCGATATTGTTACAAAAATCCAAATTGTTATACATCATAATTAACAAAGTGTGATCGATGTTGTTACAGTTTTTTCTGTTGTTGTTGTTCGTGAATGTCTTTCGCTTTTTATATACACTGTTCGATTTCATTGGTTCGCAAAGCGTTAACATTTTTCACGCCGACTACAAAGTAGAGTATTGAAGTGAACCACTAAATATGATGTTTTTTTTTACATTGTAACATCAATACTAATGTAAGCTTGGAATTCCGATTCTCGTCATACGTAACCAAGCTATTTTATTAAGCTTGCGAGAAAAAAAACAAGCAGCGAAACAATTGAGCAGTCAATGAAACAAAAAAATGCATCAAACACAATCACAAATCGAATTAACAAATTGGATACGAATGAAGTGAAAACTTTGAGTTTCCGAATTTGCCGCTGCCTTTTTGCCACTTTGTTGTGATTGTTTGTTTTACATGGTGCGTTTCATTCGCATTCAATCGTCGAAACTATATTTTGCTAATTTAATAAATTGAGTACAAGCAAGCAACCAACAAATAAACAAACACAAACATACACAGATTTTCGCTTGGCACTGGTTTGTTGCTTTGTTTTGCTTTATCTCTCATTTTTGTTTTGTTCATTTGCTTTAGTTTTTCGGCACTCCGTCTAAATGGAGCACCGTGTTGTTGTGCCGCGCTCATTTTAGGGCTAAATAATTAAATCGAAATGAAAAACAGCACACAAAACTCAATGATTCAAACAACAACAGCAACAAAAATCCCACTACCTACAAACGGCCCAGAAATTTAATAAGCTCAAGCGCGAGCGCGCGCTCAACAAGTGATCATCATGAATTATTATCAATAAATTAGATCATTTTTTTTACATTGAGCCAAAATGTCCGGGTATTTCGGTTCACCTGGGCAAGTAAAGGTAAAGCACTCAACCGCACACACCGCATCGAAGAAAGTGGGAACACATCTCGGTAAAATGGTCAATGAACATTTCATTCCCTGCTAACAAATTAGCAAGCAATGCTAATGAACATCATAGCCCACCCGAATAAGATAAATCGCAGTGTGTACAATTCAAAAGGCACGAAAATATAAAGTAGATCAGTCGATACATCAATGAGAAAATTGACTATTCGATTGTTGGTTGTCCAAGCATTTCTTCGTATTCGAATCGCACAAAAAGAAAACACAACAAAAAACTGGGACATCGTCGGCCAACTAGCCGAAACAGTCGCGGAATGCAAATTGCCTACAGAGAGTCCCAGACCTTGGCTCATTGAACTAGAAGCGACCGAAATGAAAAGAGAAAAAAAAATGTAATTTTCGGCGATATAAACATACCGAAAATAGGTTTTCATGCGACTAGTCAAAACGTCCCACCCAGCGCAGTGTGTATAATTACGTGCGGTGTACATTTTATTGAGATAATCTCACAATGGAACCATGTATTGTCTTACGAGAAAACAAAATGTACCGTAATCGTGAGCAAGCTTCACATCCAGCGAAACTTTTTTACTTACCGGGGTCTTAAAATGACCGCTTTTAATTGGAATTTTATTCAAAAGTAACAAATTATGGCCACTGTCTTATCAGTTGAATATCAACTTAGCACCCTGTTAAGAGTGATTTCTCTCACTCTATCTCTCTCTTGAACTAATTTTGGTGAATTCTCAATGTGAATAGTTTGAACTTGAGTTTAGGTGTGCAAAGAATGGCGATAAGCCATCATTAGCCTCAGCATAGATCACACCATTTGACTGAGTGAAAAGCTGATTTTTGTCAGTGATAACCTCAATGCAAGCAACTGTGTCGTTTGCTTAGTAGATCAACGGTTTCTGTTCTGTTCGGAATATTCTGGTATGTGATTTTTAATTAAGAAAAAACACTCAAATAATCTTCAACATTCATCATATCAAAAGGCATTTGCAAACGGACGATTAGAAGATGCGGCAGCGGCGGTGGCTTTGTAATCTGTATTACAGGTCCATTGAAGCAAAAAAAAAAACTGCAATACTCGAAGAACGTAATATTCTGCTCAAAAAATGCTTCAGTATGTTTATAATCTTGTTTCGCTTTGATCATCATTTAAATGCGCATAATTTTTTGTTTCTTCTTAACTTTTAATTTGATTTAACGGTCATTTACGGCTTAACTTTACACTTGGATCAGATCAGTAGCACGAAAAATGAGGTCTAGAATTTATAAAAAATCAAATGAACCGAAAGAACTCTACATCACACTCAAATGTGAGTTTAATTTTCGTTTATGTAAAGCATTTTATGTTTTCAACCAGTTCAAAGATCTTATGGCTTGACTAAACCGGTCAAAATCAAACGAATGGAGGGAAAACATTGAATTTGTTTAATTGAATTTGAAAAAGTCAGCTAAAGAAAATAACGAAAAAAGAGCAAGCAGCGAGCACTTTACGTTTCAACGAAGCCCATTCATTTTATGGGGCGATATAGAAAGTGTGAAAATATGTATGGAATAGTAAAATGCTAGAGTTTATTTCAATTTACCCGGAAAAATGGTGTATCGGATGACATTTTCGTTTGGGTCGGTCGCATTCAAAGCATCTTCCTTGAAATGCTTTGCTCGCACGTTCGTTGGATCGTTTACCATTTCATCGTCGAAATTAAATTTGTTGTAAAAACAATAATCAAAAAGCCATGCCGCACACGCTCGCATCCATTCGAAACGAGAGACATTCAAAGTGGCAAGTAGTTGGTTCAATGGCCCATTTCATCTCTGTGTTTCGTCAGTTGAAAGATCGAATTTGCAATCACTTCTCACTTCACACACACACCACAAACACAGCGCATGCATGTCTTCTTGATGAATCAATTTCAACGTCATGCAATTTACAACGTGCGCGATTCGTTGGTCTAATGAGCTTGACTCTCTCGCCGAAGCACGAAATCGCACAAAGACTTTATTAGTTTTTATTTTGGTTCTCTGATTTTAATGACAATCAAACGTGAAAATCGTTTGTTTATGAAATATTATGAAGAAGAAGAAATAAAAATCAGCAACAATAACAAACACACACACACACACACATTCAGCACGGGTAAAACCGAAAACAATGCATTCGGTGCGATACTGTGTATTAATTCTTCATTCGAAACGTGTTGCATTTCATCATTCCGCTTTAAATTCATAAATTAAGGCGATACTATTATTATTTTCATATTTGGTTTTGTTTTGATTAGGAAAAAGAGTTGAAATATAGAAGCGTGGGTATTTTTGTCTTTTCTCTCTCTCTGGCAGAGAGTCTCTCTCTCTCTCTGTGTGTTTTCATTTGATTTTGTGTTTTGCCGTGGAGCTGAGTTTGCATCGTTAGTTTAGACTGTATTTTCGACAGAGTGGCGAATGCTGAATGCGAAATGTGCACTGTATGCCTGAATGAATCACGAAACAAATGAAAGTGTGCTGGCGCGCACAACACTCTCGCGCGACATTTCTTTTGAGACTTGCTCTTTGTGTTGTTGTTTTTTTTCTTCTGAGAAATAGTCATTCAATTTTTTGTTGTAGTTTCTTTGTTGTGTTTTTTCTCTTCTCCTTTTTCAATGCACTGACAAAAATTGCAATAAAACACTTTCACAAAATGATACTTCGCTTGTGATTTGTTGTACCTTATCGCATCCCATTTTGGGATTTGTTGTTTTCATCGGTTGCGCGACTTTTGGCTTGTGTTCACCTTACGGCATTAAATCAGCCACCGATGACAAGTTGAAGAGTTCAACTACACCAAATTGCAGAAGAATCTCCCACATTACCGTACAATAATCACGAGAGTTGCATCGAAAAGTGGCTCACAACAAAACCGTTGAATTGATTGGTGTTGTAGATGCTGAAGCAGCAGCAACAGTCGATTCGTGCAAGGTCGTCTCCACGTAAAATCAACAGCGAAAAGAACACATATATCGAATTACAGTTACTGAATGCTCGTTGGCTAGGTGCATCTTGATGATCATACGATTTATTTGGAGTTTTGGCATTTCAGATTATTTAACGAATACCGTTTGCTAACCCACTGATCGAATATTGATGCGTGGATGCTGTTAATTATCGAACGGTTGACAAATGGCAATTCCAATACTGTGCGCACACCATTGAATTGGTGCATATTCAAAACAGGCAGCTGTATTTATTTCTGTCATAAAAACTAACGATGATCCGCTACATTGGAATTAGAACGAGATCAGTTGTCGTCACCGTTGCTGCCGCCGTTGTTACTTGGGATCAGAGACGATATATTCAAACGGAAATGTTCGATAATTCTATTACACAACGAATGCTTGTTTATTGAATCGTTCTAAGTCGACTAAGAGTCGGATGCGTGCGTACTTGTGTGTGTTCGTTTGTCTGAGATTCAAAGAATTTGAATAGAACATCGGTTAGTTGAGCGCAGCATGCAAACAAATTGCCTGGCATCAAGTACTCATTTTCCACTGATAGTAGTTTACATTGCATAACTGTTGTTTCATTTTCGTAGGCAAAGCCGGCACATTGCATAAGACACAATTACCGTCCGAACCATTTATTGACCAGCCACCGAGCATATGGGCTACAACTTGATTCGATGCATTGTGTGCATGCTGTACAGTTCGATCGATTGCATCTCTCGGTCTTTGGTTGACACACATTCGAAACGGGATTTGACTTTTGCAACGATTAACGATATCTATCTCTCTCTCGCCACCGGTCGATTACTCACACCACAGTCATGATGTAATATATAATTTTTGCGGGATTCTAAGTCGCAAAACAAAAACTAGTTGGGCAAAGTGTTACGCAACGGATTCCTTGATCTTCGCCTATAAAGATCATATTTGAACATGTAATCAATTGTACACGAATAGGTATTACCATAAATTCATCAAATGCATGGGACGCGTGTTGACCACATGCATGCATTCATATATCGGGATAATAAATTAATTCGTATTGATACGATTGCCATTTATGGTTTTGATGATGGGAACGTGAAGAATGCATTCTATGATGCAACGCAGAAATTGCGAACCGGTTGCAGATACTATTCAACCTATATTCATTTAGAGATTGTGCAATCGGCAGGCGAAAACTTGTTTTGATCGTTCAACATTGACATTGATCGAAACGTGTGCGAACGACGATAAATTACAAATTGGCATTAGAATCCAGGGATAGGAAGAAAACCATGCTGACTCCATGTTGCTTAATGATATCAATTGCGCTCATGAACTTCGAATAGGAAATTTTTCCATTGCAAACATGATTATCCACACTTGAAGCGGCCTTTGAATGTAGGCATGCAGTGCCGTTGCATGAGGACGATCGAATAACGTTTCTTCGCACCTGCAAACATTGCTGTCATTCGATTTGTGTACAGTTTTCTGTTTTACCTTACTGACACAGTCACCTGCATTCGCACAGAGCAGCTCTTACTTAAATCGGATCAAAAACCTCTCATCGTTTTATTTTGTTTGCTTATTAATTTTCTGTCGATTCACCTTGATAATTACTGAATCGGATGTAAATCCGTGGGTAAATACAGTATAAACTGTACATGCGTCATGAATCGAATTATCAAATCCCATTCAATATAATATTTTCCACACACGGATTACTATTGAAAACTGTGCGAGCGATCGTGTGCACATAAATTCACACCACGATTCATTGTTTCATCTGCTCCATTTACATTCCATAAAAGCCGATCGAATTTTACCGTTTCGTTGATCCGCAATTTATATTCCATTGAAATGAGACGACAATGTGCGCAACGAGATGTACAAACCATTTACGAAAGAAAATATCAATTTTATTATTCAAATTGAAAAAAAGAAGCGAATCAATTTATTAGATTATTACCGTAATAATATAATAGCCGAGCATTTATTTATATGGTCGATCGAGATCAACAACACAAATAATTAATGATTTGAACGCATATTCGATGTGTGATACCATTTTCAGCAAAATCGCAACTAGTGCGATTTCATCAGTACAACGAATTTAGGATGTTTTAATTTACACATGGCACAAATCTCATTTGTTGTGCAAGCACCGAAATAAACCTAATTCGGAGTCGTGTTACTCACGCTTCCGGAGACGCTAGAAATGCTTTGTCACACAGGCCACAATTACCATTCAGAGTATTTTGGTAGGTCTTTT